GAGGATGTTACATAGGTTCACCAAAAGTTTATTGTGGAAATCAAATATCTAATTCATAGGGTTATTGAAAGGAACAGGAGACTTTTAAAGGATGTGGAAACACTATAAAGTGCTATAAGAGTGTTAGACATTATCATTATAATTATAGTGACCTATTTTCCAAACCCAAATTGGACCACATGGTATGAGAGAGGATTTTTGTGCCACTTCCAAGGGCGAGAGGCAGTCTGCAAAATGTGAGTCAGATGCCAGGATATTGAAATTTCTGGCACATTTTGATGGTTTATGGGAGCAATGATAAAATATCTGAAATAGTGGCTGTTCAGTAAAATTTATGATGTGTGAGCACTATAATTATATTTCTTTGCAAAAGGTATTTCATTTCTCATATAAGTAGAAGTTCTTTGGTTTCACAAAATCTCAGAGCCTGGAAAGACTTTCAGAGACTCTCCTTCAGTTTCCTATTCTAAGTCTCCAGGCAAATGGTGGGTGAAGATTAAGGGGGAAGCAAAGTTTTAGTCTCCCTTAGTCTCCCTTAGTACAGTAGCTTCTCTTATTGTTGAATATTCTTACCTCAGAATCTCTGCACTTTAACTGTTGTCACCTTTATTTTTCACCTTAAAAAAACATAACTGACATAGCCTTATATAGGAAAAGAATAATTCTTTTAATAGAATTTTTTTTTTGTAAAGGATAGCAATACAAAAAATGTTGAAAAAATGGCTATTGGAACTCTCTGGCAGAAGGCCTTAAACCCCTTATGGGCCATAAACTTTCAATTCATTTCTTCTAGAATATGTTATGTTTCTTGGATGGTAACTACAAAAGTATATTACATTTCCTTTGGTTTAGCACCATAATGAGTCCCTATGACGTCTGGCATCAAATTCTACCTAGAAATTAAAAATTTTAAGTTATTTATTCCTTGGGGTTCTTTGCTTTCCTTATTTCTTTATTCTTTTTTTGTTTTGTTTTGTTTTTTTAATATATTTTATTGATTTTTTTACAGAGAGGAAGGGAGAGAGATAGAGAGTTAGAAACATCGATGAGAGAGAAACATCGATCAGCCGCCTCCTGCACACCTCCTACTGGGGATGTGCCCGCAACCCAGGTACATGCCCTTGACCGGAATTGAACCTGGGACCCTTCAGTCCGCAAGCCGCGCTCTATCCACTGAGCCAAACCGGTTTCGGCCGTTTTGTTTTTTAAGAGGGAGAGAGAGAGAGAGAGAGAGAGAGAGAAACATCTATCGGTTGCTTCCTTTACATGCCTGACTAGGGGTCACACTGGAAACCCAGGTATATGCCCTGGGTTTTGAACCCACAACATTTTGGTGTATGGGATAACGCTTCAACCAATTGAGTCCCCTGGCCAGGGCAGGGCCACTCTCTTAATACAATAGTGTGTAAGTCAAAGGTAATAGTTTATTTCTTGTGCTTACACTAAAAGGAACCTTTGGTGTTTGTTTTCCTCTTCTTTCAATGAAAGTCTTGTTCCTCCTGTCATGAAAGGTTTGAGGTTTATGGCTTGAGGCTTTATAAACCTTTTGTTTTCTACTTTTGAAATCACATATTGAAACTTTAAGGAGTTTATTTTCTTTTCAATGATAAGAAAGGGAATGTTTTAGAGCAGTGATGGCGAACCTTTTGAGCTCGGCGTGTCAGCATTTTGAAAAACCCTAACTTAACTCTGGTGCCGTGTCACATATAGAAATTTTTTGATATTTGCAACCATAGTAAAACAAAGATTTATATTTTTGATATTTATTTTATATATTTAAATGCCATTTAACAAGGAAAAATCAACCAAAAAAATGAGTTCGCATGTCACCTCTGACACGGGTGTCATAGGTTCACCATCACTGTTTTAGAGTGTATTTTCACTGATATTTATAGTAACTTGAATATCATGGAATAGATCAAGTTCATATTGATTCACGAAGTGTCTAATTTTCAGCACAAACCGTAAACTAAGTGATACAGTTAAGATGCCCAAATAATATGAATTTGGTGTTAATAATCCAGTAGAGGCTTTAGTTTGTATCTAAATGTGTGAAACTTCTGGATTTCTTCCCTGGGATTGGTTCTGAAAGACTGAATGGATTTGCAGCTCAACTAAAACAAACACATCTATATGCTGACTGGGAGGTTGCTCCATGAATTATGCATCTGTAGCCTTTGTGTCACTTCCGAGGTTCGGCAGAACTGGAGAGAGAGGTGCCCAGATACAAACGGTCTAAAAAATTGGATATGGTGGCCAGGAGTTACTCTGCAGAAGATTTTCTGTCTTGGCACAGTTCTCTGAGAGATTGGGGCAAATAGCCCACATAGACCAATAGGATGGCTTGAACTTGGCTTTTAAAACTGTTGGAATTGTTTTTTTGATGCAAGGTGTAATCCTTATCCTTGGAGATTTCTGCTGTCAGACCACTAATGGAGGACCTGGGTCTGTGTGCTTAGGGACTGTCATTCTCCAGCCCAGGCACTGAGCTCAGTGAAAGAAATTGGATGTTAGGGGAGACTGATGCCTCATTAAAGAGATCACTTTTGATTGAGCAGAGCAGCATTTAGCTGAGTCCTCCTCAGTGGTATTCCAGAAGTTGCTGAGCTTATTATACATATCGATCATATCATCTTTGTGCATTCATGAAAGGAATGTCTATTTAATGTGGACATGACCAGCCATCAGCGAGAATAAATGCCTCACTGGAGCTTGATATGGATGACTGTTGGCCTCACGGATGGTAACCCTGAATCAATCTGGCTAGATTTTTTTTTTAATTGCTTGTGTGCTGTACCATCACAGGTTGACCCAGTTGGAACTCTAAGCTTAAGTGAGTACTAAAGCAAAAAAAATCTAGCATCCTGTGGGTGGTTTGAAATGCCAGGTTTGTTTTTGTGGAGTCAGTAGTGTAATATCATTTTTTAAAAATAATGCAACCTTTACTGAAATCCAGTTGTGAAAATTTAAAAAATATATATTTTATTGATTTTTTACAGTGAGGAAGGGAGTGGGATAGAGAGTTAGAAACATCAGTGAGAGAGAAACATCGATCAGCTGCCTCCTACACACCCCTCACTGGGGATATGCCCGTAACCAAGGTACATGCCCCTGACCGGAATCGAACCCGAGATCCTTCGGTCCGCAGGCTGACGCTCTATCCACTGAGCCAAACCAGTCAGGGCCCAGTTGTGAAATTTAAGAGAACATGGAACTCACACATTGAGCCTATGAGCACTTTGGTTTAACCTGGGTTCTTTGTTTCAGGTATATAAATTATACATCCCGGTGTAATGCAGAAATGATAGCTTCTAGGGAGAATGAGAAATGACTTTGAAAAGACAGAGAAGGTTAGAATATACAGATTTCTAGCTCAGACTAGGAGGCTCAGGCTGCCTTGTCATATAGAGATGCTTTTAAAAATTCATTCAATAAACATTTATTAAACTCTTATTCTGTAATGTAGATTCCTTCTTTTTATTTTAAAAATGTTTTCCAGCTTTATTGAGTTATAATTGACACATAACTGTGTAAGTTTAAGGTGTACAGGGGTTGATTTGATATATTTATGTATTTCAAAATTATTACCACTATAACATAAGCTACTACTTCCATCTGTCACATAGTTTAACATTTCTTTTTGTGGTCAGAACATGTAAGATCTACTCTCTTAGCAATATTCAAGTATGTGAAACAGTATTATTAGCTATAATCATTATGCTATAAATTAAATCCCCAAACTTTTAAATCTTATAACTGGAAGTTTGTACCCATCAACCAATATCTCTCTATTTCCCTGGATAGAGATTCTTTAAGGCCCATTTAGATCATTAACAAACACAGTCTCACATCTTGCTTCCAGATCTAGCAGTTGACAAATTCATAAAACATAGTCACCTGATATGAAGGCTTTAAATCTGTCCAAGTAGATCCATTATTTTCACAGTTTGATCTCTATACTAACAACAGCACCTTATCCTTAGATATTAATTTATAACTCAGAAAGTTTTCATACATTATCCAAAATTTGGGTTGACTGGAAATGTTAAAGTTATTTGGTACTTTTATATTGCATGTCAAAAGACAATCACTGTGTCCTTTGATTTCATGGAGGAAGAATCTGTCACTAATGAAATTGATAAAGCAAATTATGCATTTATTTTTAAAGAATACTCTTGAAAAGGGAAAATAAAAAAAGGGAAACCCTTGTCACTCAGTGTTACTATTAATAACATTTTTCTTCATTCATTAAAATAAACGGAGAACCCTGTAGCCTATTTAGCTTTCTGTGTGGTAGTGTTGACAATTAAATAATTTATTTGCTGAGGTTTTGCTTTATCTGAGATGAATTAGAAAGCAATTCTAACTTACATTAATCTGAGCCACAAAAGGTCAATTAATTGTTTTCATTTTCAAAAATTTTTTTAGCTGTTTTTGTGCTATACCTTTCAATATTTTTGTATTAGTGTGGTATACACGTTGCAGAGGAAGATGCTAAAATTGTGTTTGTAAGTAAAATTAATACCCTTTTTCTTTTTTTCTTTTTTTTTGGTAATATATTTTATTGATATTTTACAGAGAGGAAGGGAGAGAGATAGAGAGTTAGAAACATCGATGAGAGAGAAACATCAATCAGCTGCCTCCTGCACATCTCCCACTGGGGATGTGCCCACAACCCAGGTACATGCCCTGGACCAGAATCAAACCTGGGACCCTTCAGTCCGCAGGCCGACGCTCCACCCACTGAGCCAAACCGGCTTCGGCACCCTTTTTCTTATTATCTTTAAATTGCAAATGTCTGAAGGCCTGTCATAATTTGATGTGTCATCCTGAGATTTAAATGCATTACAATTTTGAACAGGATTTGAAAAATGAACATGCCCCTAGGGGAGGTGGGTAGAGGCTGGTAGTAAACGGGTAGTGCAAATGGAATTTGATTTATGCATTCTTTTCAAATAGTTATTAATTATATAAATAAGTAGTTTATGCTTCTCTTTCAGAACTTTGCAGAAAACACCATGAATGAACTCCTTGGCTGGTATGGCTATGATAAGGTTGAATTGAAAGATGGTGAAGATATTGAATTCAGGAGCTACCCTACAGATGGAGAGAGCCGGCAGCACATTTCTGTTCTCAAAGGTAATGACATTTAATGTGCCTGTGCTCATGCCAAGAAGGATTAACTATCTCAACTTGCCAGAATTGAGCTGCTTTGGGACTCCTTTTGTTGATTATGCCAATGGTTGATTTACACGCACATCCCCAGTGGTGTTTTCCCATAAGCAGAATTCCACGGAAGGTAAGAGCACAACATAAAAGAAAGGTAGACACAGCTTGATCTCCTTCCAGCAACGGGAGAGCTAGCTAGACAAGGGCTAGGAACCTTGAGTGCTCTAGTCCTGCCCACAAATGTATAGAAAGGGATAATGTTTGCTAACTTCTCCTGCTTTTCTAAGCCCTTTGATATGTGAATTGTTGGAGACTGGTGCTTTCTGTGACGTGAGATGCTAGGTTTAGATTTTCGGATGCAAGAGAGTATGATGGTTACTTTGGTAATTCCCCTGATGCCCCCATTTTTTTTGGTGGGAATTCTAAAGGAAAGCCCTGTTTCTGTTTCATGTTTGAAGTTTTTACCCTTCCCACATCCCCAACACCTGTGGTAGGGTAGGTAGAAGAGTAAGAACATAGTCGATGGTTGGATCGTGTATTATTCTATCGGAAGTTCCTTAAAGCCCAGCCAAAGAGTGGAAATTAGAGGCTTGACAGAGTTGAATTAACACTGATTCTGCTGGTGGTAGCAGAACCAGATGTCTCATCATGAGGGAGCTTAGGACCATCAGGAGGTGTTTTATGGATACTGAACTTATGAACCTAAATTTGGAAGCAATGTCCAAGAAAAGAAGAGGAATATGTGAAGAAGCAATTTGAGGAGCTTTAATAAAATGGTAAAACTAATTGTGTGTTGTCATTGGCAATTTGATTAGTATTTGCATTGCCTTCCGAGTCTATTGGCATAAACTACCTGTTCATGCATTTTGTTTCCAGTCTCTAAAATAGCACTTTTCCTTCTTATATGCCAAGTCACGAGCTAAAATGAGCTGTCCTGCAGGCATGTGGAATTGAATGTACGTGACAAATTTTATGTTAAGCTTTCTATGAAATTGTACACATCATGTTATGGCAATAGTATCAATTTCACTTGTAAATGAAAAATACAAGTTATGAGTTCATATTCTATAAACTAATATCTCATAAAATACTTGGTCTAGGTAATCATCTTTCCCTCTGTGGAACAGGAGTACCAGGATATGTGACTAAAGGGACAAAGTTGTTTTCTATGGTTAAGGTGTTTGTTTGTTTTTTAAATGATTGACATGCAAAGATAAAATTCACAAAGTTCATATTATTGTAAGTTTTCTTTATTTTCATTTTTAATTGATATTAATGAGTTAATTTAGTGGGTCTATCCTGTGCAACAACAGTTTTGTTCCTAATCATTTGTTTTTCTTTTGATTATATTATGGACCAAGTTTATAAAACACTGGGACCTTGTTACAGTGCTGGGTGGGTGGGGCACTTTTTCAGCTTTCCCCCAGTAGACAGAGAGCGATGCCTGCTATACATCACTTTGTACATGGAAAAGGTTAATTGCCTCTCAATTTTCTATGGGCTTTTACAGTGCTAAAATTCATCGTCATGATGCAATTGGGATGTTAGCTATCATAGCACGGCAACTTATAAAGGAGCCCATTGGAAATTTATGGCAACAAGCCTGAACAGGTCCTGGATGGTTTGTAGAGTTCTGGTAAAGTGTTTAAAGGTTTGCTAGGAAAATATGTTTTGCTACAGAGCTATTTTACTTGAGAAAATGTGGTCAGAAGGGAAATAAAGTTCTTTTGTCATGTTGAATGTGATTTCTTTTCTTTTACAGAAAATTCTTTGCCAAAACCAAAATTACCTGAGGACAGTGTTATTTCACCATACACAGGCTATTCAGGGCTTGCCACAGGAAATGGACTCAGTGACTCACCTGCAGGGTCAAAGGATCATGGCAATGTGCCCATTATTGTACCTTTAATTCCACCACCTTTCATAAAGCCACCAGCAGGTAAGTCATTACTGGGGTTTCTAACAATAACGACTCATAGAAAGTTGTTTTAATTCTCTTAAAAATAACGATCAAGCTCGAGTTAATTTTGAAAAAACTTTTAGAAACTTCATAGATAAGAAATGTTAATGCATGTATTCTTTAAAGTAGTATTGCTTTTTTAAGCAAAAGCTCCAATCTATTGCCTCGGCCCATGGTCGGCAAATGGCGGCTCGCGAGCCACATGCGGCATTTTGGCCCCTTGAGTGTGGCTCTTCCTAAGCCTTAGGAGTACCCTAATTAAGTTAATAACAATGTACCTACCTATATAGTTTATGTTTAAAAAATTTGGCTCTCAAAAGAAATTTCAATCGTTGTACTATTGATATTTGGCTCTGTTGACTAATGAGTTTGCCGACCACTGGCCTAGGCTGTAAACTTTCAACCTACAATAAATTTTTTCTGCCACGGGCTACAAAAATGTATTTTCCTTCTCTGAAATCATCTGTTTGAAATAAAAATAAAATAATTTTTAAAATAAGATCTACACTGACTGGTTAGCAAGAAAAGAAGTAAGCATGGTTGGTAGTCTTGAGGGCCAGGTCTCCTCTCTGGGTTTCTAAAGGAATGGGCAGTTTGTGAGGCCTCAAAGACCTTTCTAGGAATTAGAAAAAACTCTATGGCAGCGATGGGTAATCTAGGTTGTTTCTTAAGTGGGTTTAGAAGAAGGAACTTTGAAGAACAAGTTAAATGGCTTTTTGCAAGACCCAGTTTGCAGAGGCCAACCGAAAAGAAGAGGGGTGACTAATTTTATAAATGTAAGGTTCATGCTTGAATGGATGCCCAGTGGCTTAGGTGAGTGATGCTGGTGATGAGGGTATCATTAAGGGACTGGGACTCAGTGAACAGAACACAGCTTTCAGACTTAGGCAGCTTGGGTTCAAATTGTTGCTCACCAGCTTTGTGAACATGGACTAATTACATAAACTCTCTTCTTCTCAATTTCCCCATCTGTAAAATGGGGATCACAGTTCCACGCCAGGGGATTTGCTGTGTCCCTGAGCTGAGAAAATGTATGCAAAGCTCCTTAACATGGTGCCTGCCAAACAAAAGCCATTTAATTTTTTCCTTTTTTCAGTTTTCAGTCGGCCCTAGAGTTATCATGCACATAATTTGTGCATGAAAGGTGCGCATCCAAATGCAAATTCCCTTCTAAGATTTATTTGAGCAAAAGCAAACAGCTTTAGAAATTAGCATAGCTGAGGCTAACATGAGTCTGGCATGCCAA